CCCCCCCCGGCATAAAAAATTGCTTTTAGAACTCCATTTGTTTCGATATCATCTGCACTCTAAGTTCAGATAACGTAGCATGAACTTGATGTGCTCATTGTCCATATCAGGACGAAAGAACAGGTTTTTTCTTTGAGAAAAATCTCAGAATGACAAATCGTGGCATTACAATGCTCTGCAAATTTGTGTTTTCTTGTTCTTCGGCAGATTTGGAATTTTAGTTCATTGGAAATTTGCTATATCTCTAGGCATGTCATAAATTTTGATTTTTGTTATAATGGCTTATTGAAGCGGTATACAAAACACAAACTAAGGCTGAGCTTTAAGTGTATATAAATTAAGGTCAATGAGGTCATTGCAAGATTGTTGTATAAGATTTTTGCGACATTCCTAAGGATGACCATTTCCTTGTACAGATTTCTCTTCTCTGATAATCACACCGAGCCAGGCAGAAATAAGACCATAGCGACTTGAGTAACTTTTGGAGTTTTTTCTCTTTCTCATTTTAGAGAAGTATTTGATGTTCGAATGCCACAGAGCCCATTGCTCTCATGGTATACTGATTTCCAAATCTACAGAATTCATGTTGTTGACTTTCTGAGGCGCGTTCGTCTGCCACATAAAACACCTAATAATTTTCGAATGAAATTCATTTTGCTACAAAACAACGATAAACGTAACTCGCAAGTTCCTTTAATGTCACGAACAAGAGAAACTGTCAGAAATTCTGAGGCACAAGCGGATTTGAAAACTTCATTGTTCATGTTCACTCCATTTCTCGATGCAATATGCTTTGATTTGCTTTATTGAAGCGAATTTTCGATTTTTAATTTGATTTAGCTAAACTTTGATGATTATGTATTGCAATCACTCATATAAGAAGAGCTACAACGTGCCATTCAGTTTGTCCACCAATCATAGTTGCGTATTGGTGTGAATTTCAAAAAAGAGAGAATTTTGAGAGCAATTGTGTTGCTCAGAATTCATCTCCTTTACTCGTTTTAAACATAATATCCGAAAAATAATATATATATCGTATATCAATGTCATGCATACAATCTTCTAACATTCACCTGTGATCTACCATTCCGATCGAGTGCTCTGCACATAAGAAATGCAACATTTAAGTGGCTCTCCTTTCCAGGGCTTGGTACGAGATGCCTTTTGTAGAATGCAAAAAACGAAGTTCCCCTTGACTTTCGCGACTTTTACGAAATCCCCTTCTTTCTTAAACCCTATGCGTATAAAGACCCTCAAAAAACGAAGCGTCGACTAAAAAATTTCGCAATTGTTCTTTTCGGCCTCGAAAAAGATTTGCTTTTTGTCCCAAAAAGTTTCGGGTAGCAACACCGCTATTGAATATAATGAGGTGGTTATAAGTTCTGTCGCATTTTTTGCTTTAGTTCTCAACAATATTGAACTTACTTGGAACTAGCTTGCGATCCCGGTCCCACACGAGCTTAAATTACTTAGGCCAACAGGCTAGGTTATTTACTCTTTCAAACTCCTACCAGGCGCGAAAAGCGCTCTGAGACAAACTGCCGCATCCCCGACTCTGTGATTAGAATGAGCTTTACCGTCCCTGCTAACATTGGAAAATGATTAGTAAGAGCATGAGAAGCTTCCGTTTTCCTAATGTAAATAAACAAACTCATGAATTAATAGAAGAAACATACGAATCGCCTCAAAAAGTAGTCCACAGGGGTCGAATACATAAGTGTGCAAAGTTTCAGCTCAACCGGTTCAACAGCAGGCGTTCTCATAAAACACAGACAAATAAACCGGAATTTTGCAGAATTGAGTTTTATTTATATATAGATGAAATGTATTGCTTTTAAAAGTCTATGTCTGCTCTGCAGATTCATATGCATTAATCCTCAACTTAGCGTAGAAATTTCGACTCGAGGGGAGCGATGTAATGTGGCTGTCAAAAATAGATTTTATTCCTCTATTGTTTCCCAAATTCGATGCTGGAAAACTTTTCCAAGTCCTTTGATGTAGGAAACTGAAGTGAAAATACTGATGGACGAGGCTTAGAATTTTTAAATGCATGTATATATTTTGCAAAACATTGCGCATATTGAGAAAATATTGAAGGAAAAATGCAACAGTAATTATCACAGACCCAATATACTAGTTCTAAAAAATAAGTTCGCTTTTGCATGTACATCTCTAGAAAAATTGAGCTTGCTGTTAATTGTAGTGGTTTCGAGTGAGAAGGAATGTGATGAGAAGGTTTTTTGTGAATAGACTAAGCAGTGACCTTAATAAACTAATGAGGAAAGGAATGCTTCCCTATGAACATTCACAGTTTAAGTCTTGAAGAACTATCTATTGTCTCGATGAATTCGTGGTAGGGTGATTCATGTCATTGTTATTAATAGCTTTTATCCAACTGTCCGAAAATGTTCATTTTGTTAATTTTGCTGCTTTATCAACATAGGGTAAGCTAGCCTATGTAATAAATAATTATAATAATATTAGGCTGGAAACTAAGTTTTGCAACTGGTTTCATAACTTCACTCTCTTTGGATATGGCGCATTCAAACTTTGGCATTATGTAGAAGGCAATATGAGCTACAAGCGAGCACAAGTTGTCTGAAGTTTAAACACGAAATAGAAAAGTTTCAGGCATTATTCGAAAACTAGTGAATTTTGAGAATTTTTGGGGTTTCAAGATAGAATGAAGCCTTTGGCAGCCTGGACCATGCGCAGTAATCCGGATTTGTCTACAAATTATTGCTGGAGGTTGACTCCTTTGACCTAGTAAGAAAGAAACAAAATTTAGGGGCATGTCGAGATTTGGCGTCCTCATAAATTCGAACGAGTCGATGTACGCAAGAGCTGCTGGGGACGACTGTCAATGACTAAAAAGTCCGAAACTCAAACTCCGCCGAGACTTTACATAGTAAGGTTATTTGACCTGCCGAACGCGGATATCACATTCATTTGTTGAATCAATGCCTTTTTCCTTGTTTAGGGTGAGACTTCATATCGTACACCTACAGTAATCCCACAAAAAAGCCCTTATCACGCAATTTCACTATCGTTTTCGCGATCAGCATGTCGGATAACATCCCTATGCCAAGTTTCAGCGAAACCCGTCAAACTTTGAATTTTTCCCCTTCATACCATACACCTACCGTAACCCTCACTGCGGCGTCAGAATTTGGTAGGACAGCAGCTGCGCTTTAGCTTACGTAATAACCAACGCAGTGGCAAAATTTGAGTGCGCCATGTTGAGTGAGTGGGAAGTTATGAGACCAGTTGCAAAACTTAGTTTCCAACCTAATAGTTAGCTAGGATTTTTCGTTTCTTTGGCAGTTTTGAGCTGCTAACGTCACATACCAACTATTCGGCATTTTTTATGGACGATAAAGGACAGCTCTGCTCCAAGATGGCTGAATTTTCAAAAATCATTTCTTCAGATTTTTCTGTTTCGTTTTCATGCCGTGATGAATGTGCAGCTGAGTAATTCTGTAACTGAACGCACGGGTTTTGTCTACTTAGCGAACAAGAATAAGAAATGTGATCTATTGTTCTGAATTTCTATAAAGGAAGAAAAAAAACGGCATTTTCTTTTATTTGCGCCTGAAAAAACAGAGTATCTTAGTTCTTCTACCCTCTTCCTTATTTATAAAAAATTCCTACTAAAAATGTGTATCTAATCCTCGCTAAAGTAGAACTTCTAAGCATTGGACAAGCAACATCTCTATTAGCCGTCAAAGCAGCCTAAATTTTTATTAGAAAACCTGATATTGCAGTAACAACGGAAATGTGACTAATTCAAAGCCAAGAATTGAGGCGTGTTACGTGTTGTCTGTACCTAGACTTTGCACTGCAGCCTTGAATTTTCAGAATTGGGCTAGCAGTATTGATCCAATTTTTCTGAGAAATTTTCTGATTAGAAGACTCGATCACACGCAGAGCTTTTGCTTGTTCTTCTTAATGCAGGTAAACTGAGTAAACAGAAAGGCTAGATTTCTACTTACAGTAGACTTTCGAAGCAAGCTAAACGATAGATTTGGGCCTTGCATCGGTTGTGAAACATAAACATAATTCTGAGCTTTGTGGATAATGAGTGATAATCTTGTCTAAGGGAAGGGGGAATCTCAGTAAGTTGTTGTTATGATTTCATTCTTTTATAAGACGCTTGTGATCTCATAATTCCAATAAATCTACCTCCAGCGATTTGATCGAATTTTTTAGCAATGCCGCCTTCCCGTTCAGGGCTCGGCACGAGGTGGCTTACAAGCAAGCTGGATATCGTTTTTGGGACGAAAAGCAAAGGGGGTTTCGTTTTTGTGACCGAAGAGACACGGAAAATTGGCGACGGCGACCTTTTTTTTTAGTCGACGCTTCGTTTTTTGGGGGATTTTGGGGAATTTTTCAGGTTTATAGAGGAAATTTGGTTGAGGGTCAAAGGGGACTTCGTAAAAGTTCCCAAAAGTCAAGGGGGACTTCGTTTTTTCCATTTTCATCTAGCCACCTCGTGCCGAGCCCTGTTCCCGTTTTCTCCTTAAACGCGTATGACATCACATTTCAAGCTCAAATATTTCTGCGGAAATTTGCTGCGGGAAATGTTTGCTGTTCTTTTTCAAAAGGTCACCTGCTGCGCTTTTCAGTTGCTTGCTTGAGAAAATAAATACAACCTTGTGCCGAACAAATCAGTCGCTAATCCTTCACCAAGGGTCGTTCACTATCATCGGCACCCTCACCCATTCAAGTCCGAATACTATAGTACCCATTCAATTGCATATGCACGTGAAGCATATGCAATTCGAATTTGATAAAACACTTGCAGCATGTAGGGCTTATAAGCTTTTCTTGTATGCGTAAAGATGTTTCTGGATCCATATTAGATCCATTCTCCAACTCTTCATAATTCTGTACTTTTTACTCAAGGTGCCTTTTTCACTTACAATGATGTCATACTTTGATGGATGCGACATTGATTTCTCACTATTTAACTTCTGAAAATCATTCCAGCATCTCACTCCATGCTGCGATTGCTTCTCACAATCGCTGTTTGTTACTATGGTCCTCAATCCGCACAGGCTGAAGAGTGGAGAAATAGGAATTCTTCCGTTTCTAGGATATCAGAAATGCTAGCAAAATCCATTAATTACTCGGTGAGTGACCTGTGCCTAGTTTCCTTCGGTTTAGTCATATAATAGCGGTTGTAAATAGAAGTATTCAATTCCAGGTTGATCCGTGTGATGACTTCTTTGACTACGCTTGCGGCAACTGGATAGCCAACCATCCGATTCCTAAATTTATGTCCAAATATTCAATATCTGATTTGCTCTTTGACAATGTTCAAGAACAAATGCGAGGTATCTGGTCATACATTTTACTACTTCCTAAGACTGACTGCGCCCTGCAGAAAAGCTCGAAAAAGCTCGAATTTTTTAGGAACCATTCTCCCCTCCCCCCTCCCCGAACTGAGTTGTTGGGGTGTTTGGAGATTGATGCATGTTTCTGAATTTGTTTCTGGAGCAGCCGTTCTTTTCTCAAAGCTTCTTGCGACTAACTTTGCATGCTATCTGAAAGGGCTTTTCATCTTTTTAACGTGTTCCTTCGAATTATAAGCTTTATATGTTCAGAACTATTCGATCTGCAACTGGAACTTCTCGATTTGTGAATTTTTATATTAGTCGAAAAAACGCTGAAAGGATACCTTTGATTCTGCAATATTTTTGCTCTGCAATCTACGTTGCATTACTGGCCATTCGCATTGGAAATATCCCATAGGTTGCTTTCCTGGAAGCTTTTATGCGAAATTGTTCAGAAATATTTCTGGCTTCCGTAAGTTGCGTGTTGGCCTTGATGAATATAGATGTGGACTAAGGGTAAAAGCGTACTGATTATGGGGGTTTTATCCTTTTTTGAAGTATGGATTGTCCTTAAAATTTTTGAGCCTATATTTTCTCAGCTAGAACTTGAGCAAAGCAGTGTAGACTAACTGAATTCGGTGTGTTTGAAACACCCCCACTGGTCTTCAAAAGCGTCCGCAGACCCTTTGGAAACGGCATCCTCCATGGAAGACGGGTAACTGACGTCGAGCTTGTCTCACGCTTCTCGAACCACACACTCGAAACCGTCCAAATTTTGATGAGAAACAGCGCAGGCCTTGCTTTTCAAGATTAAGCACAAAAAATCAGTGGCTTTAAATTCGTGAAAAAACGGTCAATTTAAGGGATTTCTACTATTGTGCAAATGTCTTGAAAGGTTCAAACGTTTCTCGCGAACAAGAAAAGAGAAATACGGTGTACTCGGCGTAACAGTCGAACCTTATAGCTAGAATTAGCGACTTATACAAATTCGGCAGAACTTTGAGCTATATATGTTTAAGCAGTGGGTACACTTCACTTAGCTTTATTATGAAATCAAAGGGATAGAGGAACGAGCACCTTAATTAAGTACCGCCTCCGCGGACTATTGGTCTTCGATGCACAACAGTAGGACGAAAGGAGCAGCAGCCCGCGGAGGCAGTGCATGATTGAGGTGTTCGTTCCTCTACCCAAGTCGTAGTAATGTTTGCTTCATAACTCTTTGCATGCATGACACAAGCAGTATAGAATTGGGGGAATCTTAACATCCACCGAAAAGTCACGTGCAAAATTTGACGCGAAAGCGGCATAGTCGACTAAGTTACGATGGTGCTGGGCTCAAAGACTTTTGGGACACCTTTGGGACACATTCTGATTTATGACTTTCAAGAAGACTTTGTGGAACGGGCATCAATTTCCTGGCGGCCTAATAGAGTTAACAATGGAGAATTTCTTGCATTACAAATTACTTATTCAAGAAGTTCTGGAATCTGAGAAGAGGTTTCGCTCGAAGTCTATGGAGGCCATCAGGAAAATCTATAGAAAGTGTATGGATGAGGATGAATTGAATCGCATCGGAAGCAGAGAGATGCTAAAGAGCGTCAAAGTTCGTAAACTGTACCTGTTCTATGAACTCTGCACTATGTAAGATTGCAGAGTGTTGGTACTTGGCCGATGTTGGAAGGAGATGAGAAGTGGAACGCAGACAAATTCGATTTGACTTCACTGCTGGCTCGATTGTCATATCGGGTAGACGTGTTCTTTGAGTACTCCATTGAAGTCGACAGCAAAAACTCTTCTCGGTATCTTATCAAGGTACGAACCACGTTTGACTGACACATTCGTGATTGATCGTTGTGACATTCTGCGGAATTACCCATCGAGTATGCCAAATTAGCGGTATCTATGGCAGACCTTGCCCTTTTCTCACCCTTTTTCAGGACACCTTATCATTTACATGATTAACCCGAGATACCCAATCTTTCCACCCTTGAAAAAGGTGTAGATGGAAAAGGTAAACCTTATGTAGGGTGTCACGAAAGTATGTACCCTTTGATTCAACTGGCTTGGCGACTGGAAGGCGGGGCTTCGTGACCTAGTTGAGGCTAGATAATGACCAGAGTGCACGCGCGCGAGAGAGGCGCAGACTCATCGCGGGCGCGAGCGGCCTAAATTGAGTCACAAAACTCCGCCTTCCAAAAGCCAAGCCAGTTGAATCAAAGGTTATACACTATGTGCTTGCCAACAACTCTCTTGCCTGAGGGTCTTTAAGGTTTGGAAACTGCTGAAGAAGGAACTAGAGCTTTCGATAGTGTTGGAAAAAGTGGGGGCAGCTGTCGTTTGAGTTGGTCTACAGAGAGCTGTCGTAGTTATCGCCTTAGATTTGGGTCCAATTCAATTCTGAACGGTCCCGCTGAACACGCTAATCGCTTTGAAGAACTCAGATAATCGCGAAATGCTTCCGGGGAAAGCTGAACTTCTAAAACTTCCGGGCAGACGCGCTCCTATTGGGCCGTGTGGGTGGGCCCCGCCCTACTGTCCCCATCCTACCCGGCAGCCTTAACAGAAGTCCCCGAAGTTTCGAAACCTTGGTTTTCCCCGGAAGTATTTTGCAATTGTCTGAGAAAGATTAGTGCTTGGGGCACAAACTTCATATTATGGACTTGCAGCGTTAGAACTGCACAGCAAATTCTAGGAAAACGAATTATGAAGAGCAGCTTAACCCCTTAGCGTTTTGCGCGCAGCTTGAAATTCATGTACAATCTACAGTAACACTAACTACTGACTTGCAAGCTTCAGTTTGACGATGGAAACCTTCACATGGCACGAGAGTACTACCTGGACAAAAATAAGTATCGCAAGAAGATTGACGCCTACCAGAACATGCTTATCAAAGAGGTTATCTTGAGACGCACACTTACACACGCTTACACCTTAATTTTTAGATTACGCTCTTCCAAAAAGATGGAGGTTTCCGAACAAATAGAACAAAAATAAAGAATGATGTTGCTGAGATTGTTGACTTCGAGGCAAGAATTGCAAAAATTTTAAGTCCGCCCGAAGAACAAAGATCTACCGCTGAGAGGTACAATCTCCGCCACTTGAGTGATGTACAAGCAGCAGTTCCCCTGGTAAGCACTGTACGACCGCAGAATGCTCAAATCAAAGCATGATTTTAGGTAAATTGGACGCAATTTTTTATCGCCATCTCACCTAACGTTTCTCATGCATATATTCGCTCAGATCCAGAAGTTGTCATTGCGGACATGGACCTCTTGCGGAGGTGAGTAAGCTTATCCTGTCAGTATGGTGAGGGTTCGGTTTTTCTTGAATCTTGGCATTGTTATATGCACTTTAAAGTTATCAGTTATCATACCAATCTTGGTCAAGCTCAGCAATCTTACCGAGAAGTGCTTATCCTGTCAAATTAGAGAGCAAGAAAGTGGACGATGATTCAGAAATTTCAGGGTTAGAAAGCTTCTTCAGTCGACAGAATTACGAATAGTTGCTAACTATGTTTACATGCAATATGCTTTGACTTGGATATCCGAGATGGGAAGATACTCCGAGGAAATCTATCAGGTACTCAAAATCTGCTTACATAAAGGGAATTCAATCTAAGCGGCCATTCGAGGTAAACGTTGCTGAAGTCAGATGAATGCTGTCTTCAAAAGTGCGATCGTTATGTGTGGGCTTCTTGTGAAGATATGGCGTCTGAAATACGAAAATGCGAAAACGATGCTTGCGAAAGGTTTCAAAAATGCAATTTTCTAACAAGACGACCGTAATCGCGCTTCATTTTTATGACGATAGCACCTGCGTTGCTCACATACCAGTTGGTCAACGTGGCCAAGCATGTGACATTTCAAAGGAAAACGTTCCGTAGACAGGGACCGCATCTTGAAGATCAGATCTTGTACTGACCTCAGCAATATAGATTCTTAATGTGCAATCGTATTTCCGCCCTAAAATGTCTTAAAAGTTCCCAATATATCAAAGCGTATGCTTGACACATTGCACATTCAATACTATTTCCGTATTCTAGTTAGACGGCCCTGTCAAAACACTAGGATAAAGGTCCCATCCCTGTCCCTGTACAACCTTTCCCTGTGCCCTTTTCTAAAGGCCAATTCCCTACTCCCGCTGTATTCGTATGAGTATCGATTATACCTCCCCCCTCCCTGTGCCAACTCTCAGCCCCGTAGGTCAAACATTGAAAAAACAATAAAATTAGCAAAAGTAATGGACAATTCTAAAAACTAGTAGTGTATTCGCAATCAGCATACTCGACTACCCCCTGTGCCAACTCCCAGCCCAGTAGGCCAAACCTTACAAAAAAATCGATGAAACCGATAAAAAAAGGATATTCTAAAAATTAATATTGTATTCGTAATCAGCATGCTCGATTATCCCCCCCCCCTGCGCCAAATCCCAGCTAAGAGAACTCTGCAAAAAATCGATAAAAATCGAAAAAATCGATGTCGATCGCTAACGAAAAGTAGCCTACGACGCCCCGCCCCGAAATGTAGGTGTGCCAAGTTTGGTCCGGATCGGTTCAGAAATGGAATTTTCTATTCGAAACATACGTACAGACATACATACATGCATACACACAGACAGACAAACAGACATTCAACTTTATATACAAGATATATTTCTGCGCTTTTCGACTTAGTAAACTAAAATTTTCTACACTGCAAGTCTTTCCTGAAAAACCCCCTATAAATTTGATGTGTATCAAACTCCAGTAGGCCGTATATCTTCATCAAGATTGTTGAGTCTTAAAGAAATCTTACCGTGATGATCGTGCTCCAAGAAAGACATCAATGATCAAGCATTGTAAACAAACATTTGCAGCATCGTGTAAGAAAGATTGTGCAGTTTTGGATTGGGTTTTTAGACAAAACAATTTTTGTGAGCTAGCCGCTGCGTCATCTTTGTATGTGCAGGCGCGAGATTCACTCAAGCAATTCTGCATCAGACAGCCGCTGCGTCTCATCTTTTGCAGACTACAAAAATTCTTTTCTCAAAAAGCATTGCGAAATGCTTCGCGAATTATCGACAAGCAACCTCTACCTTGAACGCAGTTGTGTCCTTCAGAATAAAGAAAATTCTTGTCTTTCATCGTTTGCAGGAGTTCAATATCGTGCTTACTGGAAAACAACATCTGGAGCCGCGCTGGAAGTATTGTACAGCACACGCACCGGAGGGCTTGACTTACGCAGAAAGTGCTATCTACGTAAGAAACGTTTTTGATAAGGTAAGCCATGCTATCGACTGTCATTTCATGAGAATGATAAAATTATTAAGACATTCAGGATGCAAAGTACACTACCTTGAAACTGATCCATAGCCTGCAGAAGATCTTTCGCGAAATGCTTCTCAGCAGCGACTGGTTGAATCACCAGTCTAAACTTGTATGTTCGATTTTGATGTTTGTGAGATGAAAAAGTACATTTTGTCTTCCAGTTAGCCGTGGACAAACTGAAAAAGATGGTTCGAAACAGCGCTTATCCTGACATCGTTCTAAGCGACGAAAAATTGGATGATTACTACAAGGGTGTATGTTAGTAATCAGAGTAACATTTTTTCAGCGGAGTTCCGATATAGTCGGGTTAAAACTGGGTTCAGGCTACGATCTTTCGATTTTTTAAATTCTGGATTTTTTCAAGCTTTTGTAGGAATTTGAACTAATACTTTTCACAACTTACAACTCTAGAAGACTTTAACGAAATATTCTGAAAGTTTAAAAGTTTGATACATTTTTGGGATACTCTATACAAAACTTTGGGAGCACAGCGGCAAGTTTCGAGCCTAACAAAAGCAAGTCATCGAAAAATATCAAAATGAGCAAATATTGGACAGTTACACAGGCAAAGAACGATTGTACGTACACAGTGTGGTATAGAAGCACCTAAGAGAAAACTCTCCGCGCTGCTTCAACAAGTAAGAGAAATATCTCTCTTTCTCAGTTCTCAGTTAGAAGAAGGATGCGCATTTGCGAATTGAATTTTGATATAAAGAGTTTAGGCGTGGGCGAATAGGATTGCTAAGATAGGAGTAAATTTTTGAGCAGGGGTTTTTCTCATTCTGGCATCCACAGCTTTTTAAATGTTGGCTACAAGTTTCACTTAGTTTAATATTGGTAAGTTTGAATGCCTTTTTGTGATGCTTGCTTTAAAGTTTCTTAAAAACTACTCAAAACTAAAGAAGAAAAATATGTTTTATTGCATTAGAAAATTTAAAACAAAAAATGTGTGAGACAGCCAGGACTCTTCTTGTCTCAGAAATTTTTTCAATGAGATTACGTTTGGAATCCCAAACTTTCAACTTCATAAACCTCTCGACTTTCTCAGGCCCTTTGCCACCTCACCCCGTGCTGCTCAAAAAAGTTGACAATAAATTCTGTTATTGAGGTACTATATATGTCAGTGTCTGGTTCGAGTTTAAGTCAAGGGTGACTGGCCTTTGCAGTCTAAACTTTTCCACACAGCTGCCAGTTGTAGCGCACCTTATGTGCACAAAAGTAAGTACAGTCGGTTTCATCCCGGATTAGGCGAGACATTCTACGTGGAGCAGCGCATGCGCATCGCTGGAGGCTTCGCGGGCGCATAGCGCTGGCATTTTGCCAAGTAAAGACTGGGAGGATTGAAGAGACGCAGACATGGGTTCTCAGCACGATAGGATATACTGTAGCTGCGAAACGGCGCGAGCTGTTGCGAGGCGAACTCGCGCCAGTCCAATTTCCGCCTGAAGCGGATCGAAACTTACTGTAATGGTAGGAAAATATTGTTTATGCAATGATGTCGTTGCCGTACTTCAAGATCTTCCAAGATTATAGCAATTCGATTTTTCAACTAAATTGGAAATCTTTTACCTTTGGATGGATTTAAATATTGGACATCTGATGAAGCGTTTTCGTCTTCTGAAATCACTGGGTACGCTTTCAGTTGGACATAGATGCCGCTTCTACGTACAGCGAGATGTTGGAGATAGCAATGAAATGGACAGTTGATGACGGTTTCAAGCGCCTGCTCAAGCCACCAGATCGATGTGAATTCGATTCGAGCGTTCTCCGAGTGAATGCTTATTACTCTGCGAACCTCAATTCTATAAGTAGGTCGATTCTGTTTGGTTGTTTTCTGCTAACATTCACGTTCAGGTATTCTTGCCGCCATTCTTCAAGCACCTTTCTATGAACGTGCTTTCCCAGGGTTAGCTAAGTTTATCTGGATCATTTTTCGCTAAATTCACAGTTTAATATAGGCTAATACACTTTGGGCACACGTTAACAAAAATGAATGGGCATTTAACATGAAAATTACTATCAGTGCTCATCGGACTGAGGTATCCGACAAGTGCATTGATACGCTAAGTTCGAGAATATGTTCTGTTATGTACAAAATGCAATATAAGTTCGCATATGTGAATGTAGTACAATACGGTGAAAAACGAGAGGGTAAGAAATAGAAGAAACTTGGAAAGTTCTGTCTTGCTTCACATCTATGTATATTCCTCTCACAATCCGTCTTCAACAGACTGAACTGCTCTTATGACTGTGCACGGATAACACCGCGTCGCACCACGTATCAGTTGAGTTTCAGTGCTTCGTATGATCCTTATCCCCAAGACATAAAATCGCTCCCTAATCCTCAGAGTCTTTTAACTTTCTACAAATCAGCCAAACCTCGAAATTGGCTGGGGATCTAACTTGTCTTGTGAGGATAATCTTTTGCCATGAAATTCGAGCGAATTCATCCCTCAAAAGCCAGTGTTCCGAAAGGGAATTTCAATACATAATGCTTTCTGCACATGCTTCAATTTTCATCACCTTGACCTTTTAAGATATATAACTCAAAACTACTTTTCCAAAAGTTCACCCTTCTTCGAGCTTGAAAATCGAAAATTGGGAGATTTCAGAGTTCGATGGTAAGAAAAGTCGTATGGAATGAATACCTTATTTTCAAGTTTGTAAGACGCTCAACAGAGATCGCTGCAGGTGTGGCCCTCAAAGCGTTCGCACTTCCCTACGCTATTTGCGCAGTCAATGCGCCCCATACAGGGCACAATAGAGGTGGCGCTTTCACACGCTGGATGTCGTTTTTGAGGGAAAGCAAAGGAGAACAAGTAAAGTTTCCGGTGAGATTCCCGGAAACCTGATGAAATATTAAGGATCGGGCATACCTCACGCGATTGCGACGCGATTTGACTATTCGCCAAGAGTCTTTGGATCCAACAGTAGCAAACAGCGCATGCATAGTGTGTATTACGTGGATTGCTAAAATACCCCCATTCTGCACATTTAAAATGTGTTTACAGTGAGTTATGGAACTGGAATATTGCCAAATCGCGTCGCGAGTGAAATCGCGTGAACTATGCCCTTGCTCTTTAGAAAGCATCTTTAAACCTCTTGAAAATTCTGAATCTGAAGCTCTAACTCAATTTTCCAGTTACAGGTTGATTGATACAGCACGACTAGTGCATAAAACGTGTCAAAACACGAACTTTTCGCAGAAAAATATAAACGATCAGTTTGTTTACAACGAGCAAGCAATATTGAGAAACCAAATTTGAAGTGTACATCCGCGACGATGATCAAAAGAAAAGTACGAAAAATTATGAAAAAATTATGTGAATGAGGGGGATTGTGAGCATTTTTTGATTTTATTGCTCCCGCGCAACTCGGGAGCACCAAGATTGCGCGAGATCGGACAAAGTTATGAATCTTTATAATTTTTCCCCTTTCTCACACAATTTTCAAGTTTTCTTCGCATAAATCTATTCCTTAGCTTAACTACCTATGAGTACTCACCTTAACCAAAGTTTCATCCCCTATGTTTTGTTACAGCTCTTGGTGTCATGAAAACAGCTTTTTTTCGTCTTTCGCTGGCTGTTTTTAATTAATCCTTGCTTTTTTCGGTGTAGACTATGAGAAGACTACAAATACTACAAAAAGTATCTCGTATTTTTCTGCAATGTGAAGGGAACTTTGTTTTTGAATTTCACAAATGCCACCTTGTGCTGGGCCTTGGCCCCGTGGTACGCGGGCCTTTGATTGCCTTCAGAGCAGTCACAGTGCGACTTGTACATGTAACGATAGGGTACGAATACTTGAGATAAGCTATTTTTCTGTCAATGATAGACTAAAGCCAGAAGCAGTTGTGCCGTTTGTATTTGCAACAACTGCGAAACTACTCTTTTCAGAGCACTCAACTATGGAGGAATCGGAGCAGTTATTGGACATGAATTAACTCACGGATTTGATGATCAAGGTACTCATGCTCACAGCTGCTTTTTTTCTCCATCATTTTTTCTAACCTAGTTCATTCTCGTTTCGAAATTTTGAAGAAGACATTTGGCAAAACTACCGTAGACTGATCTAATCATCCTGTATTTCCGCACTGGTCAAGTTTTTTCAAGATCATTTTTGCAACACTCAAAACCGAGTAATACATGACACGACATGACAGAAAACACAGAGAATGTCAAATTGTATCAAAACTTGCTTGTCACAGGCTCAGCAAATTTTTAAAAATTCAAAAATTTCGCATTTTTTTCGTACGCGGTTGCATTTCAGAGACAAACTTTCTGCGAAAATTTTTTGGACCTTAAGATTTTTGATGCTAGATTTGGTTTTATGAATTATCAGCTTGTCTGTCCTGTGCTCTTTCCGTAGCAGCCTCTATAAGCATCTCAAAGCTTGAATGATGGACGCAAAAGATATGCGAGACATCACTCAAACATCTGCAGCGATCAAAAATTTGGCTGACTTCATGCAGAAAGAAAATTTTCGAGTCACACAGAAATGAGCACGTTTATTGTGCAAATTGCGTGCTCACTTCAGTAGCTCTTATAACACCTCCAGTAGATTTCTATACGAACCGCACATAGCCCTCCAGCACTTATTATTCCTGATCCTGCATAAACAGCCGTTTTGAGTGGGTCCTACTTTGCGCAAATTAGTGACCGAAATGAAATGCAGAACTCGGCACGAAGTGGTTCTGGCAATTTTTTTTGAAACGAAGCCCCGTTGAATTCGCAACAAACTGGACATTTTCTATGAGAGCTCATGGGAGAAGCAAACATGAACAACACAGAAGAATGGAACAGGTACAAAAATTGAACGACAGTTAAAAACTAAAAATGTTCGTATTCTCCGGGAGGGCGGCGTGTTGTGTGCGCACCACCGTCGCTTGGAGCAGGACTGATTCATTGGCACTCAAAATTTCAGGATGGTTGTAACTAAGCGGTGAGGAGGGTGTTTCAGAGGTTCAAAAAATAGTTTGTAGGTCTTGGATATTTTAGGTTATTCCTCTTTTTTTCCCGATTGCAGATCGTACTTCTTAATTCATAAAGTATATAATCATATGTGAAAGGAACCTAGGACTAGGGGGAGTTTGTCCTTCTATCCCCCGATTTTGCTTCATTTGAAAAAACTAAAAATTTGGGAGTTGCATAATAAAATGTCTGATGATTAAGTACCTGTCCGGGTGAATTGGGGTACTGCAGGATGTTTTGGAATGGAGATACCTGATTTGAGCTAAATTCTTTTTGAGTACTATCAGAGTTTAGCTATAAACGGATTACGATTCATGCACATGCTTGGTGATTATCTTGTAGACCTTGCTTTGCTCTACTGTGTACTACCCAAGCTGCGCACGTTAGCAAAACGAAGCAGAAGGACTACAGTTTATGTAAATTGGAAAAATTATGGGACACTCTAGAAGATGAACGTTATGTGAAAAGTGTGAAGGAACTATGTGGGAGAAAAAAGTTGAAATTTGTATATTCTCAGCATCTCAGATAGCTTATTAGGTGGTTTCTAAACTGCCTTTTTCTAAAGGTTTTGAAGATTGAGGACGTGACATACTTTTTTCAAAATTTTTCATACCCAGTTTAAACTCTTCATTGCTCATCCACCAAACTTTTCGTGTCATTTCCTCTTCGTTGTAAACAAGCTTTTTGTTGCACTTGCGAGGTCTCCGAAAGATGAAGGAGAGGAGCGAGGGGGAAGGGCACTTGTAGGAGGGGGGAGGATTAGTCGTGCAGTATGTATATGTATGACCCATGTGACATTAGTAATAGGATAAGTTTTGTAAGAGAGGGGATAGGAGGGAGAATGTTGAAATGAGGGGCGTAGGGTTCGCCAACCCATGGAAGTAATTCAAACAGTTAATTTCGTATAAAAAATCACTGTCAGCGTAGTTCCCAAAGTAACAAAACGTGCTTTTTCCGGAGCTCGCCCCGGACCTTGCAAACGACATCTTTCGAGGTTACAGTAGGAAAAAATTTCTAGAAATAACCGAAAACTTCCTTTACAATGTTATAAAATTATGCTGCGTTCCGTAGTTTTCCCAGTCTTAAGGATTACTGTACTGTTGCGCTAGACCCATCACCTAGATCCGAGACAATTGGCCATATGAACCAGACACTAGGAGGCATATGTAAGGTTCATTGTAGTAGCAATAGAAACATGGCGCACAGCGGATATAGATAGGCGGCTACAAGAGATAAGATTAAACTATCTACTGGCTAACTGCTTGGCATCGAGAAATCCTCGCGGTGACTCCTCCTCCGAGTCGAGTCGTAAGTCTTCGGCGGCGGCTCTGTTTGCCGTCGCTTTTTCTACATGTAACGCCTCGGAGAAGTCCCGTCCTCGAGACTTTTGAAAGAGCTGGGATGCGACTGGCATAGAACAGTAACGTGGTCGTCTCTGCCACAAAATTCGCAAGGTTGGTAGTCGTAACTGACGCTGATGTGATGAGGTTTGGCGCATTTCGGGCAAAGATTATTCTCATTTGAAATGATGTGGGCTTTTATGTAAAAGGGCAGGTATGCTCTGCACTGATGTGGCAGGTGGTTCTTCCTGCAGAGTGGGCACATGATTTTCGTCTTGTTAGTTTTAATTGCTCTGCTGCTCATCGGTAGGGCCTCGGGGACAGATGGAGATGTTGCGTGCTGTTTTCCCGTGTGGACGGGTGAGGCATGTGGATTGTTAATGGTGACGCGCATAGGGATTGGTGTTTGGTTTCTGTAGTTTTTCCGGGGACGTAGACTCCATCTGGTTGTTTTCGGAGTCGGCGATGCGTGTCTTTTCCTTAATTTACTATGGTCGTCGCGGCGTTTGTCGTAATCGTCGGTTTCGTTTCGGAGTCGGTTGAGCGTTCTGGCATCCGATATGGTGAAGTTGAAGAACGCAGTAGCGAGCTACGATAGAAGGGCATCTGAAAAGAAGCTTGAGAGTTGTGACCTTGAACATGTCTCATATTAGTGGTTGTAGCAATGAACATGTTTCTTCATGTTAGTGAATGGACGGTGTGGTACCGCGGCCGGCTCTAGTATCCATGCAGTACGTTCTTCTCCAAGACCATGAATTGGCTTTTGAACTCACTAATAACTACCTACTTCAGTCGACGTCCAAGAGTCACTGCTTTATCCCTAACAGCTACTTAACTACTTCAAACCACCTACTCTCTTTTCCCGAAATACCTCCTAACAGGCTCATCCAAGACTGTTCTGCACAATGCGCCTAGCCGAAAAAAAAACGAGAAACCAAGTATCTTACGGCGGAAAATCGGCAGTCTCGCTACGAGCTTGTACCCTATCAAGCAACCCCGCTAGTGCAACGAATATTTGGGAAAAGCAACATTCACAGTATTCCAAATTTCGAAATAAAAACAATCAAAGAAAAGAATTTATTGCGAGAAATCAAACATTGGAATGTGACGAACCTAGACTTTCTTCGCAGAAGCCGCTTCTAGCAGAACGAAGATCCTTGCATCAGCGCTCTTCGAACCATCCGCTACTGCGTTTATCGCGCTCGCCAATTCACATGGCTCCGCTCCATCAAATCTAAAAGAGCGTTGAATTAGGCGGAAAAGGCTATAGAGCAAGACCTAGAACATGGAATCACGGACATTTTCGACAATTACCTTGGGCAAGAATTTGGGCATTAACAAGTTGAATTTCGAAAGGGTTCACACAATCGAGAAATTCCAATGTTTGAGGAGAAGGATCTAGCTCAAATGACGGCAGCGACACCACCTAGCCTAACAACTGCGTTACGGCGCTTAGTGTATACAAGTCACCTGTGACGCAGAGATCGCCGCCTAAATCCATATCGCAAGCAAAAATTCGATAACTACAAAACCCCCTATCCAAAAGGTCACAACAACTCAAGCACCAGAGCCAACTGTTTTCGCGGTCATCACTAATTCAATGAAAGAACTACCACCTTACTCTTCCAAAACGATATCACGATTTGCAACGCGCTACGACTCAAGTCCTCTTTTCAGTAGCACCAGCGATTCAGATACCTCTAACTACTCCATCAACTTCAGCAAAAACTGTAGAGGAAACGATAGAAACAACAACAATAGTCCCCGAAAAAGAAACCGAACCTCCAACATGGCCAAATTCCAGCTGATCGCGCCGATCATTACAACAAAATCGAGCGAGCAACCCCAACGGAAAACAAAGCTGACGCCACTTATCTAATCCCTCCAGAGACTCACGAGCTCCACGAGGAACATTATGATGTCAGACGAGTTTATAATAGTGCGTGCGTGCGACAATTTCTCAGCAATCACGAAATGCGCAAACGTAGCCGAGCGGATCCCACTTGGGCAGCCAGAACGCTTTTACAAACTGATGAAGTTTCTGCAATTCTAACCGGTGATAATCTCCAAGTAACCAGGTGTAGGAAAATATAACCCTCGCATGTTTACGAAAATCACATGGTAAATGGCACCTGTTATGATCTGCTTCCTTTATCAGTCCAAGATCAACTATGGTTCGCTACTCCAGGCTCAAACGATCTGCTAAACGCAATGGAAATTTCGTGCCCGTTCATGCCCAGCTCCCCCGAACAACTACAAACGCTGTTACCACCTAACACTTTTAACAGCGAATACGCTCAACCATTTCTCTTTAACGCGCCACCGATATTCCAAAAACTGCCCGAAGTGATGGCGCCAACAACGCGATTTCAAATCCAACATCTCAAAAATATGCCGCCCTACAAAACAAGTTGCACAAAAGAGGAATTCTTGAAGACACACTATTCCACATTAAAAGTGCCGGGAATTCCGTAGGAGAATCTTTGAGCAGCCTTTACGACAAAACCACGGATAAACTGACTGCAGGCGTCGAAAGCATTCGCTGGTCAATCATAAATTTCCTGCTATGGACCACAGTACCTGTGCTGGTGGTCTTTTTGCAAATTGAATTTTGCATATGCTACATCAAGGTCTATCTCATTAGAAAAACGTCCAGCACATCCGCATCCGTACTTTTTGATCTAGCGGGCGCCTTCACCAGGAAAGAACGACACCCACAGCGAAGAGTTAACGCAGTAACAACCGAAATGAGAGAATCCCAGAAGTCCCTTTTCGTCCCACGAATCTACTCCATCATTTCAGCGGTCAACAACAACAAAGATAATCTCCTACCGTATGTGAAAACAACACTAAACAATGTGCCCATCACTGCCCTCGTGGACACCGGCGCTTCGATATCATATTGCGACTATCCACGCTAAGATCGCTAGGACCGCAAACACAAATAGAAGAAAATGTAACAAATGCCCAAGCGGCAAATGGAACAACAGTAGATCTCGTCCATCAATCAATTCATCGGTAAAATTGGAAATCACATCTTATTCCACCGTTTCCTTGTATCCCACGATCAGCAGTGTCCTGCACCCGTTCTACTCGGCTCCGAGTTCATCCGGCGATTGAACGAACTCGGCCTGAAAGTCACAATTGATTTGCATAACAACATACTGACCATTAGTGATGAACAACGAAATATGGTGCAGGTCAACGCCATTTTTCCCGCGGCTCCGCAATCTTTCAATGTGCGCCTACTAGAAAACACCACCTTAGCCAAAAGGACTAATATAATTCCACCTCAGATAGATGAATACTCATTTCCTAACCCACTCAAATTCGTCATCGAGGATAATCAAAGAGACTTTGATTCACTTTTTCTCGTTGGCAGATCCCTAGCTACACCCGATGCTCAAGGAAAATGCGTCATTTGCATCCTCAATCCATCAAATAGCGCGATTCGCCTATACAAGAATATGAGAATCGCGCGCGCCTCGCCAATCTAGTTTCCCGAACACCAACTTTTGCAGTTGCTACTGAGCCTTATGTTCTGCCGGAGGCAGACTGGGAATCCAGGATTCCGCAATTTCCCACTGACGCTCAATCTTACGATATATGCAGGGAAATTGATCTAACAACATCGGTACTAAGCGAAAGCGAAAAGGAACAACTCCGAAACATTTGCCGAAAGCACAGCGCTGCATTTGTCGGACCCGACGGTCATCTCGGACATTACAACGGACTCATCCGGCATCGCATCGATTTGATAGAAAACGCCACGATACCAACCCGGAAGATCTATCGAATCCCCCTCGAAAAAAGAACCGAAGTCGAACGCCAGATAACACATATGATCAGAGATGGAATTATACACGAATCCTGCTCACCATTTTGTGCATCAATAGTCTTAGTACGAAAGCGCAATTTGAACTCGTGGAGATTTACTATCAACTTCAGGGGACTGAATGCCATCACCAAACTCCAGCAGTCTATTTGCCTAACATCCAGGGCATAATTGATCTATGCGCCAACAAATGTTTGTATTCGTTCCTGGATTTTGAGCAAGGGTTTCACCAAATCCCGCTAGAAGAAAGCCACTGCGAAAGAACGGCTTTTGCCTATTTCCTAGGCGCATTCGAATACATCCGCATTCCTAGGCGACTAAAAGGCGCTCCAGCTACCTTTCAAAGGATCATGGACGACTTCAGAAAACATCTCAGAGCACGCGTGTTTATATACATTGACGACCTAATCATTACTTCCGAAACTACGCCCGAACACTTCGCAGATATCGATGAAGTGCTAGACAAAATCGAGCAAATAGGAATGAAACTCAAAGCGAAAAAATGCGAATTTGGTCGAGAAGAAATCAAATCTTGGGGTTTGTGCTAAGCAGCGAATGGATCTGACCTAACAAAAACCCGAGCCATCGACCAATTTCCAACCTTTCGAACTCCTACTGATGTAAAAGCATTTCTCGGCAGGTGCTCCTTTTTTCGAAGATTTACCCATAATTTTGCCCTCATTGCTTCACCACTAACAGCATTAACAAAAAAGGACGCTCCGTTCATCTGGACTCCAGAATGCGAGGACGCAACTATGACACTCAAGAGAGCTCTAACCTCCGCGCCCATACTAGTCGCACCTAGGTTAGGAGACCCTTTCGTCATTGAAACAGCTCCGGAAAAGCTGTTGCCGGAGGGGGGGGGGGGGGAGGGGGGCGCTCGTTACGTGCGGTCTGCCAAATGGAAAACGTCGCGACGCGGCGTTAAAGTGACCGCGCGCGGGAAGCAGCAGTGCAGAAAACTTGTCAGATTTATACCACTAGATTACCAATGCTTCTCCTATATTGTTAGTATTTTACCTTCTTCAATTAGTGTCTTTTTTATCCTTCAAAGAGCTCATTTTACAACTTCTACGGCAAAACTTCAAATAACTAAGCAAAACTAATATGAGAATAGTCTGTGAACTTCAACAAAGGATGAGAAACTGAGAAACTGTGTGCTGCGGATCATGCTGGCTGAATTACCCGAGTCTGGTCACTGGCAGCCTGTCGCGCGCGACGTTTTTCAATTTGAAGACCGCACGTAACGACGACGTTTTTCAATTTGAAGACCGCACGTAACGATACGCCCTCTTGCCGGAGTTCTCAAGCAGCTCCAAAACGACATCCTCAAAGTGAAGCTTACGCCAGCCGAACCCTCTCCATCCAATCCAACCTTCGAATCCACGAATCGCGATATCCTGCGATAGAACTTGAAGCTCTAGGCGTAGTTTTTACCGTCGCTTTTCCTACAACAACTTATACAAAAAGCTGCCCTAAAAGATTTCTAAGCTGTCCACAAATCAAAGATCTATGAACATAAACTCAATTTGGAGTTGATGTCTTTCTAGCTCAGTTGGTTTCAGTTTTGTTCCGGATGTGATTTAAAAAACTCTTCAGAAAGAAATGAATCTACCGTATATCAGCGCTATGATATGTCCGCACTAAAAGAATTCAATAGAGGACCGGAAATTAACGACAGAAGAGAACAAGTGGGCTACCAAAGGCAGGTAGAGGAATCATCTACTATCTACAGCTCACATAGTGCTACGAACAGCAGAAAGTCGGTTGTAGTAGGCAAGCACTCGTAACTATTATTCATTCATTAAGGGCCTTTTTAGCCGAAATCTGCTTTTTATATCCAAGATCTCACATCTAGATTTGAAATCATCTCCATTATGCGTGTCGTTTTTGTGTCTTCCTAGAGACGTTGCTAAGCTTTCGCATCTCATGCTCGCCCGATATTTAGCCTTATCCCTATTGATTTTGTTATTATTTAATGCGACAAATCTTTTTTGATTTTGGTGTTTGATAGATGGGCCGGCACCTTAACCAGCAGTTGGCTTAGGATTTGGTCTGAAAAATTTTTTCAACAAAATTCTCGCCCAACTTCTGGTTAAGGTGCCCGCCCGTCTATCAAATAGGATGGAAGTTGTTGGGTCCGTAATACAACCTGAATCGCTTGGCATGCAGTAATTTGACGTCACCTTCACATGTTCAAAACCATCAAGTACAGGCGTTATCGGAAATGCTAGACCAACATGTCGGAATCATCAATATGTATGGGCCTAGAAAGGAGAGAGTGATGACCATAGTAAGCGCCCGTCTAAAGTGTAACATCTTCGGGTTGTCTGGAAATTATCACTTCCAGCTCCGCAAGCTTGCTAAGGGTCATCTGGCAAGCATCTGGCAGCAGTTAGGGAGCATCTGGCAAGCATGAGACGCAGAAGCTTTAGCAACGCCTCTAGAAGATTTAAAAACGAACGACGCACATAATGGAACATACCAAGGCCAACTGTAAGGTGAGCTATGAGAAACAGACCAGGCCACAAAGACACTAACATCCTCCTGGATTTCTCCGAGAAGTCCAGAAAATAATAACAGCTAGTGCTTGCCTATTAGAGCCGACCTCCTGCCGTTTATAGCACTAGTGAGCTGTAGATAATGGGCGAATCCTCTACCGGTGGCTCTATCAATTAATCTCGGTACGGACATATGCGAATCGCGTTCAAAACAAAGGTGAACGTGGCCAAGCTAGAGGAGATATTCAAAAAACCGAATTTGGAGCTTATGCTTTGAAATGTCATTAGCTCCTAAGTACGGCATAGGCGCCGAAACGTACAGTCTGCCCCAATCCTAACAAGGCCAAAATCGGCATGGCGGGAGTCCGCGCCGCGAGGGTTTCGCGCCACATCTGCGGCTAGCTAGTCTGCTCTCGTTTCGATCTGTTCACTCTCTGCGACAGCGCGCATATGCAGCGCAATCCCCTAGAGCTGCGAGCGCGCAAATTCAGCCTACGATTCGGCCTGATCCCGATTGGGGCAGACTGTAAGGCTGATACGAAGACCATTGTAACGAATCTGTACGGTACAGCAAGATTAAAGAGTACCAACTACGCCCCGGTCCAAGCAAAATGGAACAAAAGAATTAAAGAACAATCAGAACGGAAAGCCTATCACCGTTGTATAACGTTTGCTCGACAGAACATAAAGCCGTTCGCATTAAAAAAAGTTCGCGTATTCCATTGCGAAAGATTGAGCTGAGGTTTAATGAATTAAAAGAACTTGGTCAAAGCTTTATTGATGTTTCTTTGTTTGGGATTATTCATGTTACCAGAGGGACACCAGAAAAGTCTAACTACTACTAGGACGAAGAAAACTGTTTTCAACATTTCAAGTGTTTGTATCTCGTCTGTTAGTGTTATGTGTTTTGCAATAAATGCAAATCCACACAGACTGTAAGTATAATGCTGTTCCAGGACGCCAGTACGACAGCATCGGTAATGTGCGCGACTGGTGGGATGAGAATGCGAAAAAAAAGTTTAAAGAGCATGCACAATGTGTGATCAATCAGTACTCGAACATCAAAATCCCCGGGATGGACCTCTCAGTAAATGGGAAACTAACGCAAGGAGAAAACATCGCTGACAATGGTGGTGTAAAGGTGGCCTATAAAGTCGGTTTGCAATGAATGTGTTAGGTTCAATCTGGATATATTATCGAACTCTTTTGCAGGCTTACAAGGAATATCTCAAAGAGCATCAAGAAGAAGAGCATATAAGCGGATTAGAAGAGTTCAGCAATGAACAGTTGTTTTTCTTGGCATACGCCTTTGTAAGGCTTTTCAGATATTTTATAATTAATCTGTACCACAACTTGCAGACATGGTGTGGAGACATGAGAGAGGATGCACTGATTGAACAAGTGCTGACGGACGAACATCCTCCAGAACGTTATCGGTGGGAATCAAGATGTTGGCCATTGGGAACATTAATCTCGTCTAAACTTTAGTGTAAACGTCGTCCTGGCCAATCAACCTGAATTCGCAACTGCCTTCAAATGTGACCATGGAAGTGCTATGAATCCTTCTAAACGTTGTGCAGTATGGTAAACACCTTTAGTGGAACACATCGAATCTCTACGTGATCTTGAAATGGATTTTGTGTAATTTTATTTATTGTTTGTGGTTGCTTTAAAATAAAAACTAATTTTTAAGAAATGTACTTATTTCACTTGGCAGCCCTCCGATCCAGGTCAGCTTGGCTCTGCTTATAGTTGTTGCAGATGTGACAAAAAGTCAAGACGTGATGTTCCTCTTAGGTGACCCCTGAATCTACAAGGTGTTCCAGTACAGGGTGTCCCATAAAAATGTGCCTACTGTTTGATTGTTAATAGCTCTTCTACAAAGGAGTCCTTCGAGAGGCTTTAAATATCGTTTTGTAGAGCTGGCTTCAACTTAGACTTGCAGCACGGAGAGAATTAAGGGCCTATCTTCATTACTATAGAAGCACGGTAGGAACTTGCAACATATGGCGTCATTATGAAAAAGCTTTTTTTGGAAAAAAATTTTCAAAAAAAAGTTGAAAAATTGTATAACAAGGTTTTCTTGTATGCTGATTCAGTAAATATTTGGGCTTTCTAGAGCTTTTGAAATGACCTGATCAGTTTTTTGACGAATAGCAGGAAATGGTTGCTGTGGTGTATTTGGCATGACTCTTATACTTGGGACCGAATCGAATAATTATTCGATAATTCGAATAAATCATTCGAATGCAAATGATTCGAAAAGTCGAATATTCGAAAATCTGAGATTTCGAATAAAATTCGAAAGTCGAATACTCGAAATTTTCAGTTTTCGAAAATTATTCGATAGTCGAATATTCGAGAGTCATTCATTCGATCATTCGATGTCCATCAATATTCGAATATTCGTCGAGCACCGAATATTCGGAACTTCGATAAGAATTGACTATTCGAAAATTCGATAAGCACCAAATATTCGAGAATTCGATATGCATAGCGTATAGGATGTCTTAAAAGTATCTACACACTATTTGATCGCCAATACCTCTCAAAGTCTTTTGCCAATTGAGTAACATCCAGTAGGGATGGCTTCAGCTTATAAATACAGCAGAAAGCGAATCACCCATGTTTTTCTTAATGTGTGTTATCACAATAGGAAACTCCAGCTTATAGACCAACTGCAAAATAAGACATCCAAAAAAACTGTCCCCAAAAAAGGTTCAAAATTTGTGCAGCAGTGTTTTTACGTACGCTGATTTTACTACGCATGAGATTTCAAGCTTTTCAAATGGCAATCACATTTTTGAAAGGCGTTGAAAAACATTGTTACGGTGTATCGTTTGTTCCCCAGCAAAGTTCCCATAAATACCACGTTATCTCGCTGCCTTTCGCTATTTTGAACGTGTTAACCTCGGGCAGTTCCCTTGAAATCTTAGGAGAAACGTGTCAAAAAGAGCGAAAGGCAGCGTCGCACCACGTACGCACGCTGGCTCACATGGGAACTTCTCTTGGGAACACAGGATACCTGGCGTAAGTTTTGAAAAAAGCATTACGGTTGAGTGCAAATTCTACATAAAATGAGTGTCTTTAGAAATCTAAAGCAAGACCTTCAGCCCTTTTGATTCTTTTTCTGGAAATGGCTCTTGATGTTTTGAAACCCGCTTCAGTCTTACGGTAATTTCACAACAGTGAAAAGCGATGGATAAATCGCCTATACTCTAAGTTGATGTCAGCCTACAGATCTACATACTGTTGGTAACGCTGTATATCCCAATCGCAACTCTCAGTGAGGGTATACAATCTTTGAAGTACGAAAAATCTCTTCACAACCGTCACAGGAGTAGCTTTTAGGTTCCTAAGTCTCTTCACGTCACAACTAAATCGTTTTTCCATCGCAATATGTACCATAAGAATGTGTCCATTCTTAGCACTTACATGAAACAATTTATTCTTAGTGTTTTGGCCTTTCATAAGCAGTCTCAATGACGTAAATTATTCGGTCAGTATTCGAAAATCGAATGATATTCGAAAATCGAATAACATTCGAGAACCGAATAATATTCGAAATTCGAATAACGAATGATATTCGATATTCGAATATTATTAGATTCGAAATTTTCATTTTCGAATAATATTCGATAGTCGAATATTCGAAATTTTCAGTTTTCGAATAATATTCGATAGTCGAATATTCGAGAATTTCGATTTTCGAATATTATTCGATATTCGAATATTCGAAATTTTCAGTTTTCGAATATATTCGATATTCGAATATTCGAAAAAAATTCCGAATTTCCCCAAGTATAATGACTCTTGAATAATGCGTTACGGTGAAGCGCGAGTATTATGTTTGGAATCAGCGACTTTGATTTACCTAGTTTGGGAGTTTTCAGCTTCTTTGGTTTCATTTCAAAAGGTGGAATACAACCCTTATTTCTCAAAACTCTCCTCAAAGTCCCAACATAATCCTAAGGTAATGAAGAGCAATTTTTTGATTCGCACCATACTGCAAATCTAAGTTGAAGCAGCTTTATATAATGTAACCCAAAGCTTCTCGAAACACTTCATTACAGGAGAGCATAGTTGCGATAGGGGGAGTGATGGTTCTTACCCCCTTCACTTTGAGGCCAAACTCCCGATGACCTCCTTCACCTGGGCTGCGACTGGTATTGTACACTGAGAATATGATAAAAATTAGTTATTAAAAGGTTTTGCAGGCTAAGTACCTCAAGCAACAAGTACACTCATAAATTTACAAAAGAAACGGTATTTATGTTTATTTATATTATTTATTTACCCTCGTAGCATTCATTTGCAGAGCAGAAAGTGAGGACACAAAATCAGTTAATTTTTGAAGCACATAAAAGCCCTCATATCTCGCGGCACAGAAGACCTAGAAAAAAGTCGATGGTACGTCGATTCTCCATGATCTCAGCTTTCGAATGGTATACAGCATGTTAGGGATTCTTTGCTTCCCGGCTTTAAAAATCATTTGCTTCTGTAATCGATAAAAGCCAATACATTGGTGGAGCTGGGTTGGAGCAAGTTAATAGTAAATATCTCCACCCCATTTTTGAAAACTGGTTAGTTTCTTCGCCCAGCAACCTATATACCATTCGAAAGCTCAGGAAAAGGGGATTCGACCTAGACAATCGAATTCTTTCTAGCCCCCCCCCTTTCTACCGAGAGATACACTGCATTTTATCTGAAAACATGGTCATTTTCAACAGCAGATTTCTGCCAAATGAAGACCTAATCACTGCTGATTATCTATCTCTCTTAAAGAACAGGTCTTCATTAACAAACGTAGACAGTCGACTTTTTCGTAGCATTCATTTGGAGAGCAGAAAGTGAGGACACAAAATCAGTTAATTTTTGAAGCACATAAAAGCCCTCATATCTCGCGGCACAGAAGACCTAGAAAAAAGTCGATGGTACGTCGATTCTCCATGATCTCAGCTTTCGAATGGTATACAGCATGTTAGGGATTCTTTGCTTCCCGGCTCTAAAAATCATTTGCTTCGGTGACCCATGAAAGCCAACACACTGTATAGGTCGTCCCGAAAGTTTTTGCGCACGATTTTCAAAAATTCATAAATTTTGATTTTTCCAACCGATTTGACTGCTTCACTTTTATGTGAAAGGGTAAGTCATGCTTTTTATAATGACATCTCAGCTGCTTAGTAATGGTCATCTGTTGCATAGATAGAAGCTCAAAACCAAAATCACTCAAAATTTGAATTTTTGTGTAGCATAAAAAATCAGAAACTTGCAATAAAAATCGGAGCAGCCGGTATTGTAGGTTCTCTCACCAGCTCTTTCTAACAGTGCAAAGTTTGCTCCGATTGAGCGTCTCAATGAAAAGTTATGATTTCCGAGCAAGCAATACAAAAAGGCGAATTTGATTTATTTTGGCATTTTTCAGGGAAATCATAACTTTTCATAGAAACGCTCAATCGGCGCAAACTTTGAACTGTTGGAGAGACCTGCGGTACTGACTGCTCCGATTTTTTATGACCCTACACAGAAAATTAAAATTTTTACCATTTTTCTTCTATCGCTTCTATCTATGCAACAGATGACCAGTACTAAGCAGCTGAGATGTCATTATAAAAAGCATGACATACCCTTTCACATAAAAGTGAAAGCAGTCAAATCGGTTGGAAAAATCAGAAGTTATGAGTTTTGAAATTCATGCCCAAAAACTTTCTGGACGACCTAATAAGAGCGAGGTGGAGCAAGTTAATAGTAAAAAATGTGCTGTGGATTGACATCGTTATCAGCACTAACTGGAACGTGAGCGAACGCGTCTATCTGAGCGTGCTTATCGTTGTTATATGTCTATGTTTTTTGGTAAAAAATGCGCTTTTGATTGACAGTTATGCCATCAGATTGGTGAATTTGCACACCTTCACACAAAAACCCGCCCATTTCTGGAATCCATACTCTGTAAACCTAGTGCTGAAGAAGATAACTTTCGTGAAAACGCCTAAACTCACCTAATTGTAGAGAATGGTTGGTTTCAATAAATCAGGAACTCTAAGATATTCAGAAGAATAACATGTTATTAAAATATCCCTCAATGTTTTGGACAGGTTGGCAGTTTGAAGAGGAAACGGCAGGCAGAATACTTTACAAAATCGCAGATAACTCCCATGTGTTCCAGTTCAACAGCGAGGCAGAAGGAGAATCTTACGCCGACGAAAATGTTGTCGACATTGATACAGAGCTGGCAATTGAGCGAAACTCTCTGATTTCCTGCATAGGGAATCCAAGCAGATTGTCTAGTTTCAATGAGGAAATGTCCAGGAAGTCCATTGCTGATCTTCAGGTTGCTGAAGAATTCAAGGCTGCTAAATTCACAAACATGGATATGAACAAAAGGAAGGTGTTAGTACAAAGCATAGTTACTGCATTTAGATCCCGGCTGGAGTGCGAACCCAACTCTGTGCTTTATGCTTTTGGAAGTTATTCGCCTTGGGACATTATGACCTATGATATTGAAAGGAAAAAAACCAACGCGCAACATAGTACCTCCTTTTTTCGGCTTTTCCGCAGATGCTGTTAACGAAGAAGTTGAGCAGCTTTCTAATCAACTAACAGGACGTATGCCAGAGTTCGACAAGGCCCAAAAAAGTATGCACTATTTCCTTCCCGTATTGCAA